CGCTTTTATTCCCCTACAGCAAACCATTCAGACACATCCAATACTTTTCCGCATTCATCGCGACAGTTTTTTCATTTCTGCCATCGTGTAACGAGAAGTGAAGAGTTTCAGATATCAAAAGTAACGCTGCGTGACTCCAACGTATTTAAAACCTACAGGCTTTCCCAAGGCAATCTGGACTTTGGAAGAAACAGATTTCCTCACCAGCAGACTGCTTGCTTCCCAATGCAGTAACGAAGGCTACTGCTGACAACGACAGGAAAACGTTCAGAAATGCACAGACCAGGATCTAAACATGTGAAACCGAACGGGTAAACTCCTCTTGGCTTCTCTTTAAAACAAGGATGAACTCATAAAGAATTCATTTTGGAGGAGCGGTGGTGTGATTTTTGCTTTGTTTGCTTTCATCAACGCAGACCTGTTGATGAGAGAGGAAGCTGGCACCATCTGTTTCAGGACAGAATGAAAACTGAAACTTCTGCACTGTACTTACATGTGCGGACTGAGTTCATAAAAGTTTCGGTTTCTGTACTCTTCCACTTTCTCTGGAGTATAAATGGGTAGAGGTCTGTAGGGGTTTATCGATATCACCACACTGCCAATGTACGTCTGTTGAAAGAAAACAAAAAAAAAAAAAAGGATTTTTCTTTTTAACATACTTTTCCTGCTTATATATTATTCTCACATTTAATACTTCTGCAAAAAGAAACCAACAAACAGCCTGATTGTAGCAATGAATATATATGTACATACACTCCAAAACACCTTTTAGATCTCTCTCAACAATCACCGTCGGGTACCAAGTTGCTCTTCCTACATAACCGAAAGCCTCTTATGCACATTTTTGAAAAGAAAGCCCAATCATATAGTATTTCTGTGACTAATTGAGTTGGGGGAGGGAAAGGGAAGAGGACACAGATGTTCACAAAGAACCGCCTCCATCTGCATGGCAAATGTCACACCAGCTTTGCTGCAGCCCTCGGGCGCTCACACAAAACCACCACGTCAAGGCAAAGCCGGAGTCGGACTGCACTCCCGCACCCGAGGAGAACCTTCACGCCATCTCTTCAAAGCCTCAGGCACCGGAGAGCTTCACAGGGAAGAAACCTGCAGGCTAACAACCTCTGACAGGTTTCTGTCAACGCAGAGATTTACTGTCAGGATTCAAGCCAAAGTCCTGCCGCAGTTCCTCAGCAGACATGAAGCATAATTTTTATTTCCAATTCTAAAAATTTGCCACTACCCTTGGGAAGCAGAGTAATACATTGTCGTGCTCTGTTAGGTCCCGTTCCCTACCAAGCTGAAGAAGGACTGACACTGCACACCCCAATTACTGTATCGGCACCCAATAATTAACCTGCCTTCGTCAAGCCCACTGCCACAAGCCCCGCAGCTCTCTACCACCTCCCTCCAGCTGCAAGGGTACGTTCAAATACACCCAAGCAGCAAGAAAAGACACTACCCCATCCCACCCTGCCTGCAGATACTGATCAAAGCTTAATGAAACCCCAAGTGTTTGGTATCTCTTTCCACAACCATGAAATAACACCTTGTGAAACACGGACTTCCAATAACCAGGGACTCCCTGGGAGGTATAAAGGCTGCAGGCAAAAGTTCCTGTTATTTGGATTACACTTGCTAGTAACTACTGAAGAAAAGCAATGGTTTTTACATAGATCTATGATTTTTAAATGGCTCCTGCCCCATGACACCGTAGCACCTCACAGTCACTGGATTTATTCCCACAATTTGCCTTACAGGGACGTGCTGCAGTACGGATTTGTAAATGGGAACGGGGGCACGAGGAGCCCGCATTACTCACCAACAGGTTCAGCACAGCACCGGATTCGCTCCAGAGCTGCAGTCACAAATTAATCACACCGAGCGCTGCAACCCTTCCCTGTCTTTCACATTTAAAGCAATTTTCTGCCGAGTGCTAAACAAATTTGTTCCCAAGCAGAAAGTTGGGAGAGCAAGCTTTCCCATCTTCCACAGCAGCTGTGAACGCACACCGCATCTTCTGTCTCGCTTAAAATAGAGTCGGTCAAAGTAGGCTGCAGCGATACAACAAGTAGTAGGAGGCTTCCAGAGCCTCTCGTCGCTCATCCTTGCAGTGTTTACTACCCAGAGGATGAAACAGAAGCAGCCGCCGCGGACAACTCGCCGTACAACTGCTGCTCTGACAAAACACAACACTTCACTGACTGGGCTCCCAGCTCACCATTTCTGAACACCACGTACTCTCCCCTCGCCTCTGGAACCAGCGAGAAACTTTCTCCAAAACACTTCCCGCCGTGTGTCCAAGCCCAGAACAGACCCAAGACGCCCCAAAGAGGGTGGCTGCAGCCCGAGAGCCCGCGCAGGGTGCTGGCTCTGGAGGTGCCTCGCGTCCCCAGAGGCATTCAGGTACTGACTGCTGAGAAAATCCCCAGGTAATTCAGATTTTTGCTGCTTTTGAACACACGCCGCACTGCGTGCTTATACGCATTTTCTTCAAATAAAAAATTGTTCTAGCTTTGTGGCCATCCTCCCCCCGAAGGAGGAAAGGGTTTTCCATCTGTGCCCAATCTCTTTGGATGAACAAGAAGAAAATGCAAAAACTGCCTTTCTACAGTGTTTACTTTGCTCTCTCAACACATGCGGCTTCGGCAATTTGCAAATCTACAGATTCTTGGCGAGAATAACAGATACCCAAGAGTAAGAAGCTTTCTAGTGTTCACAAGTGCACGCAAACCCCAATCAGGACTCTTTTCCAATCAAGCATTAATAGGTTAACTCCTTTCCAATCTTAAGAATTTGTGAATTCAGCCTGTTGTGAAATCAGTGCTGGAAAGTATCAGAAGAGAGATGAAGGCCAGATCTTGAAGACTGCATTTTGAAACAGGAGTTCTTTGGAATTCAAGGACTTGCCCTTTTCCGCTATTCTGCTACCACAATACCTTACCATTTCATTGCTGAGTTCCTTGAAGCACCCTGAGATGCCAAGGTAAAGAAGGACAAGTGAAAACCTTGATTTTTAATTTTGAATACTGGCATTCAAATGAGATTTATTTAGAACCATCTCTTCATAGCTAAGTATTGCTTAGCCAACGTATTTTGGGAATTCAAGTCAGCTGTTTATCGTCAGACATGAACAAATACAGGCCATTTCCTAAAATATCAATATTTCGAAAGGTCAAATGACCACAGAGAAACAAAGACATACTGATGTCCATTTTAAACACCATGCCAAAGCGTGCCAAGAAATCACTGGGTTTGCTGCAAAGCTGCTTACAAGAACTAACACGTTTCCTCTTCTGAAATTGCCAGTATCTCCAAGCTGATGCCTAAGAGCTGCTTGCTGCTGGTGGTCTGTGAGATTCCACAAAACGGGGATAAAGAGATCCGGAAAACAGCTTTCCCACATAACATCTGCCTTCCCACCAGAACTCTATTATAAACAAACAAAATAAATGGCTTAAATCCTTGAGCAAGCGACGAGCGCAGGAACATTCCAGTGCTGAAAGCAGAACGCCCAAGAGTAGCGGGAAACCATACTGTGGCACCCCGGGGACTACAGAGATCTGTCATTTTCCCTGTTTAAGGAAAAAAATGAAACCTCAGAGGGACGGCCTCGTGATGCTGAACGCACAGAACGCAGGCAGGAGATTTGGTTTCTTTCTTGGCTTTTAGTCTTGTTATGCGAGTTTGGACAAGATCTGCTGCCTCCTCAAGTTTTGCTAAATAGACTTGTTCAGCCTGAAGAAGAGAAGGCTGAGAAGGGACCTAATATATACTTACAAATATCTCAAAGGTGGGTGTCAGGAGGATGGGGCCAAGCTCTTTCCAGTGGTGCCCAGCGACAGGACAAGGGGCAATGGGCACAAACTGAAGCAGAGGAAGCTCCAGCTGAACATGAGGAAGAACTTCTTCCCTCTGAGGGTGATGGAGCCCTGGCCCAGGCTGCCCAGGGAGGCTGTGGAGTCTCCTTCTCTGGAGATATTCCAGCCCCGCCTGGACGCGGTGCTGTGCAGCCTGCTCTGGGTGACCCTGCTTGGGCAGGGGGTTGGACTGGGTGACCCAAAGAGGTCCCTGCCAACCCCGACCATTCTGTGATTCTGTGACGCACTTGATAATACTCCTTCTTCCTTCAAATTTCTACTTTATTGCAATAACCCACAAAGGCAAATTCTGCCTCCTTGGCGTGTCTGTCCAGCACCCGAACCAAAAGGACTCTCAGTCACCGTGTCTCAGTGCGTCTGTCATGTGGCACAGCCACACCGTAACGCGCCAGCATTTCATCGGCGGAAAAGAGCATTCACATTCCCACTGGGTCAAAGAACTCTGCATTCTCCACCAAAGCAGCGCATACAACTCCTTCCTGTTCAGTGAAGGGTTTAAGACCCCGAGTACGAAGACAGTTCTAAATCAGAGCTCAGCTAGAAAAGCCGATCATCTCTGTTACATCGCTTCTACGTGCGGTTGGAGATGCAACACCCAATGCACTCAGATGCCTCATTTTCTCCCTCCAGGACTGGAAGAAAACACAGCCACTTGGGGCAAGATGTTACCGCTGCTTCAAGCTTGTACCCGCCTCGCAAGGCCTTCTGTGCCTTTCTAACCCAAGCAGCTTAAAGACCGGCTTCAGAGGAGGCCTGAAACAGCAACAGAGAGAAGATCGCAGCCGCGGAAGGCAGGGAACGCTACGGACAGCGGTTGAGGCTGCAGCACAGGAGCCGCAGAGCTGGGGCTATTGTCACAGCCTGCTTCATGTCTTTAAAAGCTTCTCTGGATCCGCGGCATCCTCTGCACAGCACCCTTCGGCAGAGGTTAACAGCACGAAGCATCGACGTAGATTTGCTGCAGACCTTCTGGCAGTGCGCTCCACTTTCGTCAGCTCCATGACAAGCAAAGCCGCTGCTTCTCACCCACAGCCGCCTCCGACGGTCCCGAAAAACTGCTGCAGAATGCCCAACTGCTAACAAACCCTGCGAGCGTGCTAAAATCCCAGGGCCCAGTAAGGTTGCTCTGCTTATTTACTGTTAAAAAGTTGGAGCACAGAAATAGAAAACAAAGAAATTCTAGTAAAATACAGATACTGATTCTTCCATTTATGCAGACCGATTTTAACACTCCAGACACGCATAATGCACATTTCTTTAGCACTGATTACGCTCGAGTGTGCTGGGTTCCTACGACCGAAGAGTTTCAGATCACGCCATTAAAACAATTCGTTGAAATGAGAGACATTAAAGCAAGATCAAAGAGAGTGCGACTAGATTTTATCGGAACAAATCCAGCACCGAGGCTTGGGCAGTGCTGGTTTCTTTGCAGGGTGGGGGGGCTGTGTTTTGGGTTTGTGGATTTTAGGTTTTTTTTTTTTAACATGACATATGCAAAATTTTATTTCTAATGTAATACTCATTTGCATTTGTGTTTGCCTGCACCGCTGCAGTTCTGGAGCTTGCTAGCTCATCAGCACACGGGCCGCTGCACGCTCAGAACAGCCAACGCTAAGGAGATTGCAGACCCAGAGGGAAGTCTGTACTTACACGTTCCTGGTTTTCTGAACTGTCTCAAACTCAAACAGAACCCGGCAAATTTAACACTTCACAATGAAGTTCCTCAAC